CTCTCACTGACACATAAGCAGACCAGCAGACAGACACAAAAGGACACCGTGTTGTCAAAGGTTTTAAGACTCACCATGAAAGGACGGCTGGAACAAGTAAATTCCGATGATTTCAAGCCTTACTTCCATCGCAGAACAGAACTACAGTGAAACCCGTTTAGAACGAACCCACGTACAGCGAATTATTGTCGATATCAAACTCAGGAAAAATTGAAATAAAAATGCATGTAAAAGGCATGTTTTATAACGAACAACATATTGGCTGTATCAAACTTTCCCCCCCTGGAAGGCTTCCAAAAAAGCACATACAATCGTCTTCTGGCCTGTCCCTTTCTCCAAAAAAAAGAAGTAGGAAAGAAAGAAAATTACAAAAGATCAAGTTGCGAATAAAATTGACCGAAGAGAAGCGACTCAGAAGGGGAGAAAGCTAAAACATACACTCTGCATGCACACACACACACACACACACAAAAAAATTATAATTTTAAAGCGTTTGTTTAAGTAGAGAAGCGATTCAGAAGGGGAGATAAGCTAAATGAACAAACTCTGCACACATGCAAAAGAAAAAAAAAAAAAAAAAAAGAAGAAAGAAAAACTTTACAGCACGTTGTTACAAGGCAGAAGTGAAGAGATGAGAAAGAAAGAGAAGCTCTCGCATTACAATAAACTTATTGTGGAAGTTTGTTGTATGTTTTTTGCTATATCGAACTACTTGCTATATCGAACTGATCGTAGCATTTCCTGCTGTTCGTTATAAATGGGTTTGACTGTAACCGTGGAGCTCGGCTGCTTAACATGGGGAACATGTGTCATTGTACCCTCGAGGTACCGAAAACAGCTTTGGAATGACTTGCATCAAGGTCATGCGGGAATGACAAAGATGAAGGGACTGGCATGACACTGTGTGTGGTGGCCGCTTTTGAATCATGACATCGAAACGATGGTCCAAAGTTGTCGACCGTGCCAGGAAGTGAGCAACCAGGCATCCAAATTTCCCACACACCCGTGGGAATACCCAAAAAAAGAAATGGCAATACCTGCATGCAGACTTCACAGCATCCCTTCATAGAAGGAATTTCTTGCTGATTGATGCACACTTGAAATGGCTCGAGGTATTGTTCATGACCTCGACGACTTCGGCAGCCACTATAAGAGTGTTTCTAACTCTCTTTGCAAGATATGGACTGCCAGAAAGGATTGTGACAGACAATGGCCCGCAATTCCGATCAAGTGAATTCCGGGATTTCATGACAAGAAACGGAGTGGAGCAGTCATTCTCAGTCCCGAACCATCCTGCAACGAACGGTCAGGCAGAAAGCTTTATGGGAACATTCAAGAAGTCTGCCAATGCAAGCCTGAAGTTGGGGCTGACCATGAAAGAGGCATGCCATAACTTCTTGGTAGCATACCGGAGGACCCCGCACACGACAGCTGGCTCGACACCTGCCAAGATGATGACAGGAGACAAATTTCACATAAGGTTTAATCTTAGACCATCAACAACGGATGTCGTGCGATCAAAACAGGCGAAACAGCACGCCTCGCACAACTCTAAAGTATGACACCTACATCAGAACGACCAGGTCTGGGCAAGAGACTAGAGGAACGGCAAAGAATGGTCGAAAGGCGTCGTCGTCCGAGCTCTAGAAAACGCAACATACGAGATTCGCACGAACGACGAAAATACAGGGAAACAAAACATTGAAGAGTTAAGGCATGTACTCAAGGAAAAGGGAATATCTATGAATCAAGACGAGAGCCTCAGGCGTGCAAAAAGATTGAGAAAGTTCACCCCTTCTCGCAACACCAGTCAGCAAAACGGTTTACCGCCTCCGATTTCCACTGACGACTTTACAACCATGATTCAAGACAGTCAAAAGGATCCTGTAACACCGGAGGTAGGCACTCCAAACTCGCCTGCCATACCGCCTAATGGCACACGTGACCAAGACACAGAAGGCAGTCCTCCTCTTCTCAGAAGATCATTTGAGTAATTCGCCACGAACAGCGCAAATAGTAACGTTTCTAAACCCTCACTGTTTGAGACAAGTACTAAGTTGATTTCCTCAAATGAGAAATAACTCTGTCGACCTGATTTTGCATTTCATCTTATCGCTCTTCTTAGTTACTTTCCCTTCCTTCAATCTTGCCTCCTATAATCGGTTGCTCACTTTTAAAATTTCTATATATGTAAGGTGCTAGTTGAAAGATGTGGTTGTGTCACCTTTGTCCTACATGTTCATTCTTTCTTGAATGTTGATCATACTACGGCAGAGGCAGATTTGCACTGTACTCATTACAAGTAATCAAATTACTTGTAATCATTACCTTTTTAAGTAATTCTGTAATAATTTTAATTTATTAGGAAGTAACCATGAGAGTACCACAATTACTTGTAAATTTACCATCTTTCCCTTTCCTTTGTAACAGTACCCTTTCTTTCCGTAAGTCTCCCACAACGGAATCCTCGAACCAAATCTTCGACAGGAGGAAGGTTTACCAAAATTGGTGGAGAAAGAAGATAAGTGATTTATAATTTGGTGATTCTAATTAAATATAGAACAGTACAAAAAACCCTGTTTCAAACCGGCAGAAAAATTTATACTTTTGAAAATTTTAATTGTGATTGGAAAAGGAACGGTTAATTAATCACTTTTCTTCTTGAGTAATCAAGTGACCTACTTAAATACTTTTTAACTAAAAGCAATTGCAATTATAATCCATTACTTTTTTCGAGTAACGTGTACAAGACTGGAGTGTGTACAGCTGACGCAGGACCAAAAACACCAGACACGTTATGCGCAAAGAAAAACGCAACCACATGTGCGCACACACAAATACGTTGGTCGTGGAAATACAATGATAATGAGCCACTTGAACGTTCACCAGTAAAGTGACATGGTCAAGTTTTCTCCGTGTAGTATTTGTAAAACCAAATCTGCCTGCAACTCCTCGCAGAGTTTGCATTTTGAGAAAAAATATTTCTTGCAAGTTGCAACGTACGCTGCACGACACTGTTAGTACAAACGAGACTTCTGCACTTTTTTTGCAGTTTACTTCGAAAAGGTACTAATGGCAAATGCCAAATTTTACCACCTATAACTTAGTGTCCTAATTGAGCACTTCAAACCATACTACCTACCGTAAAATCTCGTAAGAACGCCCACCCATAATGAAGAGATAAATGATGAAAAACATGAGGTGGACGATCTTTGGGGATGCCGAAAAAAAAAGAAGAAAAGACTCCATCAGAAATTAATGATGAGCACCGAGGCACCCGCTGCAAACCACGTGACGCGGGAACTGATACCGCAGATCGCGGACTTGGCAATTTCACGTTTCAGGATGCGAAACACGCAGGAATTTGCTACAAGCTCCTGTGTCACGGAAAAGGAGACAACAAGTGGATGCACACTTGCGGTATCCTTGGCGGCAACTCCGATTATTACACGATACCCGCCTTTTCTTCCCTTGCAGCCGGAAAGACGGACAAGGAGAAGCGGCAAAAAACTCCATTCTTTCTTTGGACCTAATCGTGTCAGCTATCGTCTCGCAGATGGCGTGCTGTGCGGCGAAGAGGCGTTAAGAAGCGACACCGGATTGTGGTGCGAGAGTTCAACTTCAAAAATTGTTTTCTTGCTTTAAACAAAATTACTTTGATTAAACTTTCGGAATCACAAGATTATCGATTGTTCTTCCAAACCCATCAAATTTTGTATTTTTACTCGGAACACCTCAGGGTGAAATAAACGGTTGTTTATGCATCAAAACACACTTTTTTGCAACTTCAGGTTTTTTGTTTACTGCGAGATATTTAATTGAGCGGTTTTAAACATTTTTTTATAGATTATATACCAGCAGGGCAGCCGGCAAAAAGTTCTATTTAGTCCCGGGAGCAATTAGATATTTTTTTTTATAAAATAACAAAAATGTTAAAATTTTCAAATTTTTTTGTTTTTTAAAAATTATTTAAATCAAACAAAACTTTACAAGCCCAACCATTATGTCAGTTGAAAGCCGTGCAAATTTAAGAAAAAATATTGTTGGGTGTTTCACTAAAAAGCTGATTTTTCATCAATTATTGAGTGATGCCTAGTTTCACACTGTTTTTAAAAGTTAAAACTGCGCTCACGTTATCAAAAAAAATTTGTTTTTTTTTGCCAAAAATATTTTAGGGCATGGTTACAAACATTGTAGCAAAAGGCTATGAATTTTTTTTAGAAATCGGAAGGGGTCGACCGCAACGTCCGGGACGTTTGACATGGAATGACTCTTTTCGGACGTACTGGCAACACAGATCGCGCCGTTGACGCGTGATTCCCGTCGGACATCGCTTGACGTCAACGGAAATCGGAGGGCGGGCGAGATTTTGGAATTTTTATGTTACAGATATATTGCCAGAAAAAGGCGATGGGCGATCTCTCGGGAGGGGGCGTCCTTACGAGATTCTATGGTAGTAGTAGTAGTTTTGATGACAACATTTTGGTGCAATGGGAAAACAGAAAAAAAAAACGGGCGGTTGCTTGTTCACGTTAACAGTGTTGCGCAGTGCCCCTTGAAATCACTTTCTATGCACAAATTTAAGCAAACGACTGCAGGGTCCCTTTAGGCAAGCTTGTTCGGGAATGACATCTTACACACCTGGGCTGCTCTATAGCTCTAAATTGAAGAGCACATTGAATTTGGGGGATTCTACGAGATACTACCCCAGGCTGCAAGTGTTCTGTCACCTTGAGAGGTCTCAATCCCATTTGAGGTCATTCTCGTTTGACAAAGGTGTGGAGTGGTGTTGCTTGTTCACGTTAACAGTGTTGCGCAGTGCCCCTTGAGATCACTTTCTATGCAGAAATTTAAGCAAACGACTGCAGGGTCCCTTTAGGCAAGCTTGTTCGGGAATGACATCTTACACACCTGGGCTGCTCTATAGCTCTAAATTGAAGAGCACATTGAATTTGGGGGATTCTACAAGATACTACCCCAGGCTGCAAGTGTTCTGTCACCTTGAGAGGTCTCCATCCCACTCGAGGTCATTCTCGTTTGACAAAGGTGTGGAGTGGTTGCTGCAGGTGTCTGCTCCAGGCACGCAGACAAAGTCGTCGTCTGTGGCCGACGCCGGAAACTGGTTGGGCGGCGTCAGACCTTAGTGAAAGAAACAGGAACATAATTACAAACCTGTAGGAAAGGGCGAATGAATGAATTTGGAGTTTTCTGGTGCAGCAGCAACATAGTGCGCCAAACACAGGGTGTAGAAAAGGGTGCCGAGGATCATTACTTGCAATCTACATAGAACGACCAATTGGAAATGTAATATTAGCAAGCTGTTCAAAATGTGAGTGTCTCCGTAAGTCAGGCTCGTGGGTATAGTGTGGCACGAACAACCCTTCTTTTGGGGACTTACCGACTTCATTTTCCCATTCCAAGTCGATAGAAGAGTGTGGGCTGCTATTCAGACGGTCCCTTTCCTTGTCCCAAAACTTCCCGTGAACCAGAGGGCCTGCGGGACATTCAGTGCAAAATAAGCAATTTGCGAAAAGGGCAGACACGAGACATTTTGAAGTTGCGAAAGAGAAACCCTTACAGTTGCTCAGATGTGCTGAGTCCTTCAGTCGAGCCACATTCAGGATTTCTTCTTCTCCGTTCCTATGAGAAACAGACAAGTGCCTACAGCTACAGGACTTCTCAGACGTCAAATAAATGCATCACTACTACCACATACCACTGCATGAAGTATATATTTAACCAATATGTTGACAACTTGCCACTGCATGCATACATACAGGTGCTTTTTTGAAAGCTTTACAGATTCGTTTTCAAAATGCCATGAAAGCTACCTTAATGCAGTCTGTGCAGATGAATAATACGGCCAGAGGGACATGATATAGGGGGATAATCGTCATGATAGGTTTGCTGATTAACTATAAAAATTGTTCGTTGACTTTTTTTATCATAGAAGATAAACATATGGTTCCAATCAGAAACTTGCAGAGTGTCATCGAAAATTATGAAGTAAGTAAAATAAGATTTGGAGCACGTGGGAAGCGCAGCGGTGCTCTAAAGTTGGCACCCGTAAAACAGGCACAAGGCTAATGGCATAAAAACGTACCCGCCTGGTTTTTCGTCTCTTTTCATCAACATTTTGGCACAGCCAGCATTGTTCCCATTACACAAATGGTAACTTAAGCGCGCCACCACGCTTTCTAAGCGCCCGAAACCTTTCTAAAATTCTTATTTAGTGGTTTTCGTTGATGCTCAACAAGTTTTTAATTGAAACCAGGATATTTAAACTAATTAGAAAGTTTATGAAGAAATTGTAGTTAATTATTTGACTTATCGCGACGATTTGCCCTTTCTACTATGCCCCTGGCCATATAACTCATTAGCGCAAACTGCATTGCTGTAGCTTTCATGGCTTCTTCAAAACAAATCTGTAAATCCTGAAACAAAAACAAAAAAAAAAAAAGAAACACTCGGTATAATTTAAGAGATATTATTAATAATAATAACAGTACCTTTACTTTTCACAAAAAAAAAAAAAATGTTGAAAAGGTGCCAAAAGAAAAAAACTGCAAAACAGCTTGACAAGCCCAGAGTTACCTAAACCAGCAGTGGTGAGGCAGGCACGAAAAGAAATAATACAAAAATAAAGCATGACATGTGCACTACATACTGTAATCAACTTATTTTTCGCGGGCTCAATATTTCACGATTTAGATCAAAGCTGAAGTTTTGGAATAATTTCGCGAGTTCTAATTTTCGCGACGCGGTGGGATGTCAATATACTGGGTGTCCCAAGGAGCGGCCAGGCTCTTTAAATTGACCACAAAATTCGGTTTCTTAACCTATCGCGCTACGACTTTGTGCAAAGTTGCCCAAAAATGGTGATTTTTTTTTTTTTTGTAGAATTTTCAAAGAGCGAAGTTACCTGAGGAAAAGTAAAGAAAGAAAAAGGCTTAGCTCCTATGGAAATGCAGTAAAGCCACCGGTCTTCACACAATACTGCGCCGTTTCGCACGGGAGACAAGAGAAGGTGCAAGCGGTCGCGACACCAACTGCTGCCAGCGAATGAGCAGACGACGCCGAGAGCCAGCGTCTTTAGCAGACAATCTTTTCGACTCAAAAGCGGCACAAGCTTTTCTGATATCAGTTGCCAATGCATTATTTTATCATCCTTACTGATAAAACGTATTGAATGGACACATAATCGATTAGAAAAATGGTTTGTTGGGATATTTTGACTGTTTTTTTCGGGGTACCGATGTCGTCTGCTTTGCAGTTCCTTGTTGTTACCGCGCCTGTTTTTGTTTCTGCAACTGTCGCCACCTGTGGAACGCGCCCCGCTTTCGAGTGTCTGGTATGAGATTGGTTTTGCCTGCGCTGTCACCGTCAAGTATGTATAAACATACACACAACCCAATTTTTTTTTTAGCATATTGATGCAATTTACAATCTAGTGAAAGTGTATACAGAAAGTTAGAGCCTCACTGAAATTAATGCGAAAGAAAAAATCAACTATACAGATTTTAACACTTAATGAAAACTTAACGTTTTCTTAAGGCCATGTCGTATGGTGGTTGGCTTGTTGCCGACCATTTAAGGTGCGGCTTCGTCCCCACCAAAAATTAGAATGTATGCCCTTCATTTTTAGATGGCAAGCTGCAGTTCAAAACACCAGTGTCTTTTTGTTTTTGACTGCTCGAGAATTTCATTAGGTGAACAGAACCTTGGGAATACAGCTTCGAGGAAAATATTGGTGCATCTGGTTAAAAATCTGTGTTTCAATATTTGTTTTATGGTAGAGAAGGTACAAATGTTCGAGGTGCACCAGACTCTTGACTTTTGATTGCCTGAGAGATAACAGTTACTTACAAAACCCACTTGTCCTGCATCGCTCCTGTCCAGTTGGCGTCTTTGGCAAGTTTGGCACGCACCACCACTTTCTGTCCCTGAGCAAGTGGAGGCAAGCTGCCAACATCCTCGCACTGCTTTGCCTCTTCTTCCAGCTCCAGAGTTTCCTCTTGGAATGCCAACTGCAGAGGAGAACAATCTCCCCATGAACTTGGCATGTCTTGTTGCAGGTACTATATAAACAGGCTGCATCAATGATCATCTTTAGAAGGCTCATCTGGCAAGTTTCACCATCGGGATATGTAAAATACTGAGCATGCATTCAGGCTGAAGTAACTACCCACCCTTCAGACACTTGAAATTTCAGAAGCCCGAGTTCATGGGATGAATACGAATAAAGATTTTAAATATAAGCAGCCAAAGTTTTATGCAAATAAATCTTTGGAAGTTGGATACTCTTGTTCAGTATTTGATAACATTAGTTAGAGCAACATAAAAAGAATGGAAAAAAAAATTGTCAAATTTCTTCACCTATGTCTACTTAGAAAAGGAAACTTTACAATTTTTATAAAACAAAGCTTTGGCCAATGTTCTACTGTCTTGAAAATTTCCACAAGAATGACTTCTGGCATCAGCCTACAACCAATATCCCCAACCTCCAAAAAAGATACCATGAATAAATATACCATAAAGCAAGGCTTAAAGGGGCACTCAAGTGGATTCTGAGATTGTCTACTTAGTGCCATACCTCAATCTACGGGCTCTGAGCATCCTAAAAAACTTGAAATCACATTCAAGAGCGGCCGATTTCCTTATTAAAAGTCCAATCAAAGATTGTGCCGTGCCCCTCTTTCTGTGCTGTGGTGCAGGACACCTTGGGGCGCTACCGGACGGGAGGCAGCAGGGAAGGGCACGCGACAGCCAATCACGAGTGACTGCTTCCCGACGGACTCATTTTTCGAAGGCGAGCATATTCGAAAATTAGTTTGCCGGGAAGCCGTCACCCGAGATTGGCTGCGGTGTGCCTAATGGGAGCATGGCACATCTTTGATTGGATTTTTAACAGGAAAATCGGCCGCCCTTGAATGTAATTTCGGGCTCTTTAGGATGCTTAGAGCCCACAGATTGGGAAATGACAATAAAAAGATAATGTCAGAATTCACTTCAGTGCCCCTTTAAATTAAGTGGATACTGTATTTGAAAATTCCCATCGCTTGTTTCATTTAAAAACAAAATTGCAGATGCCAAAAACTTGTCACAGAAGGTTTACATAAAGTAAACACATAGATAGGCTGATCACAATCCACAACGTAGAACATAGGACATTGGGGGAGGGAGGGAGGCAAGCGGGGCGGGCCCAAAAGAAAAAGCAAGCTCTTTTACTATACCAGTTCACTGAAGAAATGCACACTTTGCCGAAGTTCATAGTTCATGCTTTGTTCCAGCTTACGTCTAGATGCAGCTGACGTCACGAGGTAATAGGACCAATCAAGCAGCATCAGAAGGGCAAGTTACTACTACTTTTCTGCTTGTGATTGGTACAGCTATGATAGAACACATACAGAAACATGACATACGCCATGATGAACTTTTGACGCTGTCCAATTGGTCTCATCAGCTCGTAGCATCGGCTGCGTCTGCACTTGAAGGACAACTCCAGTCAATATATATTTTTTTAATCTTAGATTACGACTGCTCTCAGCTAAAGCAGTGTCCCTAAATTCAAGGAAGAATTTTTTTTAGACAGTCTGTGTAGTTTTTAAATATCACGGCTCAAAGTTTGGTTTCGGGCGTTTACTGCAAAACCGAAACTATCTTCTAGAGGGACGGCAACGTTGATCATCAGCCGTGCGACCGCGACGTGAAGTCACAAGGATGCTGCTCTACGCGGTACAACCAATCAACCGCAGCTCCACCGCGACGTGACGTCACGAGGGTGGCGTCACGTCACCAGTGTTCCTTGACTAAAAGCTAATCCTCTTGCCGCCCGCTAAAGGGCAGCTGGTCGCATCTTTAAAATCGGTTTTCGTGGAGTATGCAGCTGCACTTATATTTCGGCTGTGATCATACTTTGTGCCCCTTAAGTGATACCAGTCATTTGTTTTGGTTTAGTTTTTGACCACGGTTGCCTTCATAGGTAAAATGAAGTATAGTTGAGTATACATGCCCCTCTCTTCATTTTTAAACAAAACCAAAGCATGCCAAATATAGTAATATAGTAAAGAGTTCCAATGAAGCATCTGCACGAACAAAACATACTGACAGATGAAACCACAAAAAGGGCTCCAAATTCACTCTACTGGAGGTACCATTTTTTATAGTATGTTCATTTTTATAAAATGCATGTTTTCTTTTAGATTTATTCCACTCGCTTAGCATTGATTTTGCAACTATGCACGCACATTCCCACAGAAGCGGAACGCGAGGCTTCATTGAGAAAAAATGACGGGGTGGCAGAAATGCACCTCTAAAACATGATTGTCCCGGCCAAATTAGGACGCCTGGTCACCCTACATATAGAAATCATGTCTGAAACACATGCAGAGATCTTCTACCTCACTTAAGACCAGTGTGCCAAGTTCTTTTTTCATCATGTGCTTTTCTACCTCCCTGGTCCTGACATGCTGGTGATCTGCTTTCATTCCACAATTTAAAATGAAGGAGCTGCACAAACCCCGTCTCAGCTATTAACCTTGCATATTATTTAGTATGATAACGGTGGCAAAGGAACGAAAATGTGTGTCGGCAGTTTTCAGCTTTGAACAGGAACTTTGAGATGCTCTTATCATTCTTGCTTGAACTTTCTGATACAATAGAAATTTTGCTGCGTCGAAACCTTCACAGGCCTCTTTCATTATTATAATTTTTTGCCTGGTATCCCCTGTACTTACATAAGACAATGCAACAAACATTACGTATTCATGATGTAAACTACTGAAAGAAACTGAAATCATGCCAACCATAGCTGAAAAACAATTTTTAAGGTTTTTAGCCCATGAAGCAGCAGCTGAAATGGTGTCTCTCGTGAGACTAGGTTCCAATGAATCACCCCTATTTCTGCCAAAATTAACAAAGCCCTGCAGTTATAGTATTCACTGCACCATAGGATTCAAGAGCTTCTTATCCCATGTCTATTTTGCTTTTTATACCGTAGTTTGACCTGAAAACAAAGTGGAGCTTTAAGCGTGTTGCCGGTACCTTTCTAAGGACGTCATCATCATCACAGAATCCCGAGGAGTTCAAGATACTGTCGTCTGACGAGGACAACTCCCCAAAGTTCAAGCGGTAGGGTTTGGAACCCAAACCACGGGTGTCGTTGCTTTGGGTCACGGCTGGAGCGTCGTTATCCAAACTAAAAACAAACAGAAAAAAAGGAAAGCAAACAAAATGGGTGGAGCAGAAACATATTATAACCAAGCATAAAAAAAGCATTGGTGCAACATAAATTTGTTTGGGAGCCTCGAAAAGAGACATGAATCTGCATTTTTGAAGGACTAGAAAGGCACTTCATTGTATCTTTATGTAGAACTCTAAATTTAGTAAATAAGGGTGTGAACAAGTGCAGTCGAAATACAAATTGTGAAATAGGTATGAAGGCAAAGAAGGCAGGGATGTGCAAATAAAGACATGGCCCTTGGGAAATGAGCTCGGACAGAACCTCAAAACGTTAACAGGAGCAGAATCACCTAAGAAAGCTATCAGTCAGAGCCATCTTCGGTGTTGGAAGGAATGAATGTACGAGGAAGAAACCGTGACAAGCTTTACAAATAGTGCGTGCCAACAAAAGATGCCATACCTTTCCCTTTTTCATGTTTAGCCAGGACGAAATACTGAGGAGGAAGAGGGCAAGACAACAACATCAGATAAACAGGACACACAGCTCAAAGCCAGTTTTCTAGAGAGCTGTCAAGCCACAAGGTAGAGGCAACAGGACGAACAGTGAGACAGGTATAGCATAAGACATATAAAAAGGACAACACAGTGTAGCCTTGCTAATACAGACTAATACAGTCCTGTCGAGTTATCCGACACTCACCAGAATTCTGCTAAACCTGACGGTTATCTGACGCTCTCCAACTTTAAAACCCGACAGTTTTAAAGGTGGAGAGTTCAAGGCTTTCCACCTCTAATTATTAATTACTAACTGATTATTTATTAAGTGATTATTAATTGTTCTGTAATTAATTAAAGAAAGACATCCAACCAAACTCCAATTCTTACTACATGATTATTATTTGGGCAACACATTAAAGTGTTAGAATACACTGAATAGGTCAAAACAATGAAACCAACGAAGCCATTAAATTTACTGACAAGTAATAGAAAAGCTCAAGACACCTCTCACCTTTTGGGTTCATTAGATGGTTGCTGAAACAATTGAGAAAGGATTAGGAATGGCAGAATGTCAAACAAAAGAGCCGACAGATAATAAGATTCCGCTCACCTCATCAATGAGTGTTTCGAACTGTAAGAAAGGAACATATTGCAGAACATTATTAAAAAAATTGCGTGTGTACGGAAAACACGACCACGACATGGCAAGGCTGCCCCGGAAGACAACTCCGACTGACGACGCCTTCAGGCGAGATAAGCCACTTCTCTCTCCCCAAGAACTGCACTTTATCGACACCTCGTTTTTGTGATCCATTTGTTTTTCTGAGGCGCAATCAAATGCGCGACTCCACGCAGGTGGAGTAGAGCAACGTCCATCGAAGTGGGGGGTTATTAATTTTATGAGCTTTCCCCATTCGGATCTCAACGTTGTTAGAAAAAAGGTTAACACACAATTAACAAAACTGAGCAGGGGTCTAAACTTTACCTCAATAAGGCTAGACGAATCGAAGTATCTCGTTTGCTTGACATGTCTGTAAAGAGAAGTATCAGGGACACAAAGATGTCATTTCTCTGAAAGGACCTTACGATCGGAAGAAAACAATAGCGTCGACTTTATGGGTGCATAGTAACGCCCAATTACACTTAAGAACAAATAGAATAATTAATTAGAAAACGAATATCTGCATGCAAGAGAAGACCTCCGAAACTCATGCATCTAATCGAAGCGAGAATTCGAAGACCATGGATGCGCCGGTCGGTGCGCGTTTAGGGTACCAGAAATTATGCATTCCACCCGCTTTGAATAAGAGAACACCGCAGAGCAATGCATTCAACACAGAGAAGACAGTTTCTAGCTTCCCGCACAACGAAATAGCTCCAAATTCGATAGTGTAAACAACAAAACAGCCGTTCTACCTCGTTCGCTTGCTTGCTTCTTTGCAACAAAAGCTGAGACACGAGCCCATTCCCTTCAGGTTGAGAACAGTCATTTAACCACCCGTCTTCAAACTAGCATCCCAGCTTTTCGGTCTGCGCCGCAGTTTGGGTGAGGAATTAATATAAATAACGGTTTGCTCATAATCAACACTCAAATCGCGGATTAAGCTCCCTGTACAAGTAAGCACCGCGCGACCGATCTGTGAACTGTGAGGTAGCTTCCCTGCAATTCCTAATGGAGATGGCCTGACTTCCGGAAAAAGCCGCTTTCGCCACTTTCGCTTTCTATGACAACTTCCGGTTTAAAACCTCATATCAAAGACAGCTAGAATACCGATGTTCTAAAACATTCCATAAGAAGAGCGAGTATTTCCATGTCGGCTAGTTTGTTGACTTGTTGTCTAGCCATAGGTTTCGCACGTCGTGGATATGGATTCGTAAACTTCCGGACGATGCAGACTTCGGATTGAGACAATTTTCTTTCCGTCTATTTTGCCTCTTCTCGCCGCGATTTTGTCAAGCCAGCAGCGTGCTTTTTTTCGTGTCGCACATGTGTGCTCGTGTTTCTGTCTGATCCACTACATTGATCGCCCGTGCAAAAGGTTTTCCAGCTCACAATGGTATTTTATTTTTCCTACGTGAAACAAAAACTTGAAACTATTTTAGTACGACCAAGTCGACCAAGTTTCAAAGGCGGGAGTCGTCAGTGATCGAGGGACGACAGCTTCAGCAGAAATTCATCGTCGTTCTTTTTTTTCCAGCCTAAATCAAAGAAGGCGGTTGCTAAGTTAAAGCGACTACAGGCAATAGTGAAAAAGCCAATTCACCCAAACAGCAGGAAAGCGCAGCAGCTGGCGCGAAAAGAGATCCACAAAAACAAGATCCAGAGGTATATCTGATAATTCGCCTGCGTAACCTGTGGGCTTTTTACGTCATCTTACCCTTATGTTCACTTCCACAGTCGCAAAACCGAACTCTCTCTGAAGTTGAAGACAAAAAGTAAGTAGCGCGAACATGTCTCCTTGATGGTATATGCTGACAACGTTGTATCAATGCTCTATTTCGTTTCAGTTGAGAAGCTTGCTTGGTTCCACGAACAGCTCATTGAAAATACGAGTGACAGGCTTTCACCGTCAGAGTTGGACAATCTCATTGAAGAGTAAGTCAGTTCATTACACTTGCTGTTCGGTGCAGTTTGGGTTTGTGTTTCCTTTAATCCTTTGCCTACGACAAAAATTTCCAAAAAAAATTTGGAAATACCTATTTTTTTATGTGCCCTGTACTCTGTTTCACCTTGTGTTGTACCGCAGGGAAGGCTACAAGCGCGAGCTCCTTGCTTTAGGGCACATCTCGGCGGCACAAGCTCCCGTGCACCAAGGGCAGCTGCCAACGCTATGAGCTCGCACTTCTAGCCTTCGCTGCGGTACAACATAAGGTGAAACATAGTATAGCCCAGTTCGTCATAGCGTGGACGAGCCCAGCTCGTTGTCGGGGAGAGCGGTACAAACAGTGTGGACGAACCCAGGTCGTCCATGGTAGGGAAAGGGTTACTAAAGTTCTCGCTACCTTTCCTGAAAACAATTAAATGTCAAGCCACGAACTGCTAGAGATAAAATTGGATCAGTTTGCTGTATTTGTGAACGCTGTGGCATATTTTTTTCATGACGAAGTTGATGCGATAAAACTGAAACGCTTTTGAGACTTGCTGTCATTGAATTCCATTATTTCGCCTCGTCTCGCTGGCCGACTCGCCTCAACCATTCCCGGACTTCCGAAACTGGGTAGCGGTTTCTGTGACCATCAGAACATGCTGTCCTTATCTTGTACAATGTATCGTCACATAATCACCACCAATACCTACCGTACCATGGGCCTTCATGGTATGGGCGGTTGCCTTTCTGCTATGCCACGACTCTCGAGCCAATCGAGATTATTATTACTTACTACTCTGGTACTAAATGCATAGCACTTGTATTACGTGCTGTGCATTAACTGAATGATGGCAGAAAGGAACTGATAAAAATTTGACGGGGCCTTGACCGAGAAAAGCGAACGGTGCTTTGCACCGCAGATTTCACAGAAAGCTCAGATTCTGTTCAAATAAACTGCCAGTTATTGGGATAAATATACCAAAGTTTCAGAACTTGCTATTGCTGGAGTAGAAGAGCTAGAAGCAAAAATCGGAATTTGGCTACAAGGGATTGCCGTCGGACTGCGTATGCAGATGGATTGCGTCCGTCTTCTGTACCACCTCTCGGAGGGTACTGCTGGGCAGTGGCGTAGCCAGAAAATATTTTCGGGGGGTCTTTCAGAGTGCTAATCCAATAACACACAATAAAAGAAAAAAAAATTTACTGGGTGTTTCAAGGAGCGGCCAGGCTCTTTAAATTGACCGCAAAATTCAGTTTCTTAACCTATCGCGCTATGACTTTGTGCAGCATTGCCCTCGGATGGTGCATTTTTTTTTTCGTAAAATTTCCGAAGAGCGAACTTACCTGAGGAAAAAGTGAAGAAAGAAAAAGGCTTAGCTCCTATGGAAACACAGTGAAGCCACCGGTCTTCAAACGATATGGCGCTGTTTCACACGGGAGACAAGAGATGGCGCAAGCGGTAACGACACCAGCTGCTGCCAACGAACGAGCATACGTCGCGGAGAGCCAGCGTCTTTAGCAGACGACTGTACTAGCCATGCTTCAAAAATGTTCCCAAAGTGGCAACAAATGACGTTGCAGGGGCCAGTGTGTCGGATGTCGTGATCCTGGCAGTTAGTCATAGACTAACTGCCAGTACAGTCCACAAGAGGAGTAGGTGCCAGAGCTGCTGTCGTCGCAGCGGCTCCACCCGTAGTTACAGAAGCTGACGTGGACTGTCGAGCCGAGAGCGATCCGGAGCAAAATAGGCATCCGCTGTGTCCGCTTCCTCCGCTGTGCTACCACGAGGATCACAACAAGCATAACTTATCACATAACTTTTATGATGTCATATGGTGGAAATCGTGGGACCACGTTTGGTAAACACACCATCTGGGCACCATATCATTTGGGAAAAGTCTAAACTTTCATCGACGCATACCATGAATTCCCGTAGGGGTACCCTCCCCCGAGATATCCATCCCATTTTTCTGGCTAAATATCCATAACGTAAAAATTCTGAAACGTCGCTCACCCCTCCAATTCCTGTCGGACATCGTGTGACGCCTAACGGGAATTGCATCGACCTTGCGACCTGCGGCACCGGTACGTATGACGAGCGGGTTCATGGCAGGCTCCTGCGTTTTTGTCTGCAATCTGCGTGCGCAATATTGGTTCCCGTGATGAGAGTTCGTAGTGAGTTCCCGCTTTTTTTTATCCGCAATCCGCATGTGCGATGTTTGTTCCTGTGGTGTGCAAGTTTAGCCAGTTTTCGTGTGTTTATCGTACCATGAAACACGAATTTGCTGCATCTGCAATCTGTGGTATCCTTTCCCCTGACACAGGAGTTCGTAGCGCGTTCCCGTGTGTTTATCGCATTTGGAAACGCGAATTTGCCAGATCTGCGTTCTGGAGTATCAGTTCCCACGTCACATGTTTTAGTTTGTAGCAGGTGCCCTTTGTGTTTATCATTCATTTTTTTATAGAGTCTTGCTGTCTCATCCCCGAAAATACCCACCTTAAGTTTTTCACCATTTATCTTTTAATTTTTCGGGCGGGTGCCCTTTTGGGATTTTACGGTAGTTTATTTTTGCGATGCAAAACATATGTTAGTTTTTCTCAACCGACATACTAGTAGTTGCAGCAGATGTCACCAGTATTGTCCTTGCTGGGAAAGTTGCGCTTGTACATTCTTAAGAAGTCCAATTAGCACTGGAGCACTCGCCAGATGGAGTGGACAGAAAAAATCCTATCGGGTGCATGAAAGCACAAGTTTCATTCTGTTCACAATGAAACTGTCTTTAAACACTCTGCATTTCAGGTACTTCCACCGATTTGATGAGGAAATGGAACATGTGCAGTCCATTGAGCAAATCAGAGGCAATGTAAACCAGTACAAGGGGCGTCTGGATGCCATTAAGATGACTCTCGAGAAGGACATCGGAAGCTACAACTCCTGCGGCATCGGTACGGTTGCTTGATTGACCAATGTCCCATGGCAGGGAAGGAAATGGCTTGCTTTCGTTTCTTGCAGAAGTTCCCAATCTCTTGAATCCAGCTGCATACAAAATATTCACGTAAGTATTCCCGGCAGGGGAACCTGATTTCCATAGTTGGTAGTTCTTATTGGAATGGCATGTTAAATGTAGGTGCCCAGCGTCTGTTCTATTTTGGGAAATCTTTATAGAGTTGCAAACCCGAACATGTGACGGCGCTCATTTTGACATCTTATTATCAGAAATCTCTTTGGGTTATCTTGAAAGGAACGTTCTTTAAATCATATATATTAGTGAACACTGAATGTATGCTAGAATGCATAATTTAGTTTTAAAAGAAAAATACTCTGCAATGACAAGAGACTCGTCTGCAGGCATATTCAGTGATTATAGAAAGCTTTAGAGCTTTACCCGTGACTTAGACATACCATGCAGTCGCCGACCGATTTTTTTTGGACACCGGTAATTCAGGCTTGTTCGATATTTCAGACTTAAAGGAGAAACCGTGACCCACATGATAGAAACATTGCACATTCATGATCGATATTTATAGAGAGATCAGCGGGAAACACCACTAAGAAGCAGCCATTTTGAATTTTATGTTGGCTGCACATAAATTGACTTGGCTTGGTCAGAGGGTTCCACAGCATTTCTGTTCACCTTCAGGGCTTCTGTTGCGGTTTTTTGGCTCTCGCTTTTATCGAATCGCTTGTATAAAAAATTTTTGCCGTCCCGTTGGCTTCGTTATAATGAGAGGTTACCATATAACGGAACTCTACAAAATACTTAGTCTTAAAATTCATACCTTTTCTGGTAGCGAACCTCTTTATATTCCTACAAATTTGTTACGCTAACAAGTGTCATTTGTTCCAGAGAATGGGACGGCTCTTCAGCTTCATACCTGCCTAAAATAGAACTGAAGCTCTACACAAAAGCAGCACTCCAGGAACTGGCATCGAAGTAAAAAAAGATCCGTGCAAGAAGAATCAACACAGTCCATTTTCGTTGCTTTTAATTTATTTAATGACCTATAAATAAAAAGCCACAGGTGAAACATTCCTGGTTCTCGAGTTTTCTGTAGTGGTGGCATCTGGCATAAACCTAAGAATTGTAATGTTTTCTCTACAGTATCCCAATGTGTGAACTTAATATACACTTGTCTCGCCTTGTCTATCCCCTTACGCCCACTTCCTCCCCCTTTCCCTAATTCTTTGCAGTTAATGATGTGTGTCCCTTCTCCAACACTTCTGGGTAAATTCTTTTAACCATCCCCGCCATCCACTCGGCAGCAGGGACTGCAATACCGTACGAAATTACCATCTTCATAAAAACAAGATCTTTGTGAACTTGAAGTGCATATCTTACATTCACCGTGGCAGGCTAGAATAGACTTTTTGTTATTGCTTCGCAACCATTTTTAGCATCGATTTGAAGAGCCTTTTTTCTCGAAATATGACGGACATTTGTATGAGTCTCGCCAAACTTCCCCACGAGCTCTCACGAAAGATAGAAAAACAATGACCTCTGCCGACGACATTCGCACCTTAGCAATAACTGTTGGAAGAAACCTCCTCGCAAGTTCACTCCGAGCCATTCATAGTCTCCGACAAGACGAGAATGGCAGGGCTACTCTTTTGGGTGCCCTGCCTCCAGCATGCGCACGTTTTCTTCTGCCGAACTGTGGCTAATGTGAGCGCGCTTGAGGCTCGCGAGATGCTGAAGAGTTGGAGCTGGAAGGACCTCTTTACTGTTCTCATCCTGCCAGTGACTATAGCACCTTTCGTACTTCCTTCGAAGTCCCCGGAGTTTCCTCACGGCAGAACGTAACAATGAGTCCGACGTCGCTCCAAGCGTAGGCATTTAGTCTGAGGCCACCGTTCTTGAAAGGCCCGCTCAGCTCGCTCCTTTCACCCCCGCGGCGGTCGCCTCTACGACATAGCTCGTTTTGGGTGCCCCTTTGCCCTCCTGAAAGAGTTCCTGAACCTGAAACCTGCGGTGCGCCTGTTCGACCCTCCTGTTTCCGTGCGGCTTGCCGTCGCCCAGGAGTGCCGCGATGCCCCAGGGCACCTCTTGTGTGATCCCGCGGCAGGCCTCTTCGAGCGCCGCGAGCGCGCCACCCATGTGACTCTGCAGCTTGCGGAGGTCCGGAGCGCCGACGTTGCGGCTGGCGTTCAGCTGCCGGTCGAGGGGGTTCTGGATGTGGATGGCGGAGTAGTCCGGTTTCTCCAACAGCTGGCCCGTGTACGGGGAGATGGACTTGGACTTGAAGTCCACCGAGGAGTAGTACTCGAAGAAGCTGACCAGCAGTTCCTCTGCAAAGCGTCGAAAATTGTGAGCGCAACCTCGAAACACATGCCCCCAAAACGAATAAATTTTTTCGCACAAAGCATCGCATTACGGGTCCTTGAACTGGGTTTCTAGGAGTCCAGGGATTCCCTGTGTATGGAGTTCCTAAGAACCAGTTTGAGAATACACAATTCTCTTGGAATATGCTTATGCGGGGCTCCAATTAGGGCTGTAAAATGTGGTGTTCTATGATACCATGTGCGAATCGAAAGCAAAAAATTGCCGATACGGCACATGTGCTAACTGGACCGGTACAGAGTGGAACACAGCTAATGCAAGTAATAGATTTGCCAGTTCTTTCCCATCTTTGTCCTACACATGGAAGCCTGTTATTAAAACTACTGGTGTGCTGAAAAGTGAGTATATGTGCAAATCCAATTTAGCTAGTGAAATATGGTGCTGTGCATTAACCTGTCTGAGTGCAATGTGAAAAAGAGACAATGTTATGTTTACGCTAACTGTATCGTGCAGTGTCGCACAATGTAAAAGGAAAAGACAGATTCTCCCTTTCCATTACTCTTTGCATGTTTGGGATGTCACTTTATTTGTCCCTGTAACCCCAACCTTTAGTCTCGAGTTTTAGTTATGATTTATTTACCAGCATTTCAGGTTGCTTACTAAGACATAGGGCACAAACTTAGCAAAGTATAAAAATATGCTGGGCACTCCTTAGAGCTAAAAACTAAAAGAAAACTATTTTATACATACCAAAGGTTTCGCCATTCTTGTTTTGTAAGGCCTGCCTGTGCTTCACGAGAGCATTGGTCCCCAAATTCTTTTCGCTCCACCCTTTCTTTCCTGAAAACAAACAAGGTTGTAACAGCAAGGAACTTCTTCGATACCGATGTTAATAACTAATGCACATGACAGCTCTAATTTCTCTAGTAAGTAGTTTGAGAAAAAAAAAAAAACACAAGACACAAGTGGCAGCACTACTAGCATACGACTGCCTACCAGATGAGAACAGAGAAAATTTACCCTGCTTCAGGTAAGCTACGTATGCAAGGGCTCTTCGAGTATGGAGCATGCAGGGGACTTGAATGGGTCAACAAGTTTCCCCTGTGATCAGATAGCTGCTGGAGGGTGGCTGTCCTATTTTATGGTGCGTATAATGCTTCCTCCAGCCTTTTTTTTTTGTTTGCTAAGGAACTACGTGTGCATTCCGCTGATGCACGGGTCTTAGAAGGCATTTTTGTCACCCATCATTGGAACCCTGCTTTTGAGTATGTGTGTTTTTTTTTTCTTGTAGGGCAGAGGTGGTTGATGTTTTGTGCACTCTACTGGGCACATTGGGTTTCTAGGCCATTCCAATTCGAGGGCTTCAGCAAGGCACCACTGTGGTGGCGATGAGAAACACTGTTAGAACTGGAGAGCTGTCGGCTCCAGTCTGCTGCGGACTCGACGAATATTGGTGTCGACCCCTCAAACACAGTTGAGGGAATTGACCTCACCTCAACTGAGGGTGAAGTCAGTTCCCTGAAAAACTGCTCGGGGCAAGAAGGACTGATTTTGGCTAATGTCTTCACCCCATACCGAGTCAACCAAAATCCCCTTCCTACTTTGTACAAAGAGATTGTGTACATTGGTTGTTGAAAAGTTAGTGCATACATACTGTAAATGAACAGCTTGTTCTTTAAATGAAGCATCCGTCACGCTATGCCGAACTAATGCCGAAGTGTCCTCGTCAACTCTTCAACAAACACCACAGGCCCAACTAATAACTTCACCTACCTACATCGAACAAACCTCTTTACTCAGCAATTACGGATGAAGCTAACTAAACCATGGAGAACTCAAGTTCAAACCACTTGCATGCCAAATGCAAGACATAAGCAGTGCCGATAGAGTTCAAGGTACACAAAAGACAATCTAGTCACTGTCTTTCCATTGCACGTAGTCGGAGAAACATTTCAAGCCAGCAAGTTTGGCAAAACAAACACCCCCTATCTGTAGACTAAAACTGCATGTTGTGTTCCCTTGCATATGAACATCAGAAAGATTAATGCAGAAATCTGTTATGCAAATGATTCTAATACAAAAAGCTTGTCAATGGCAAGCCAAGCAAGGTGGGCAATCCGCGCATTCTGTTTGGATGCTTGTTCCAGTTCTTCCATTCCAATTAATTTTCTTGCAATGTGGACAACAACAAGCTTGTACAAGCAGAGCACCTTTTGACATTATCTTCTTAGGCATACATGTAAAGACTTCTAGAGTTGCCCTGACCCTGAATTGCAAAACTAAGACTTTTTGATGCTTCCCAAGGCCAACAACCCTGCCATAAGGAACATTGCCAAGGGTGTACGGTACTTCTATGGGGGTACGAACAAAGGGGTTGGGGCGGACAAAAAGGGGAGCCAGGGATTTGTAAACAGACACACAGATGTCTCGCGAAGCAACACTGGGAACTGCCAGTGACTTATTATACAGCATGACTGTTCTCTGCTGCACTGATTGGCTTCCCGGGAAGGGAACAGAATGCGACCTGATTGGGCGCCGATTAAAGGCAGGGGCGGATCTGCAGGCCAGGGGAGGATAGGAGGAGGAGTCTCCCGAGATATGACATTTCGGTCGAAACGTTGCCTAGATCTATTTTGTTGACCTAATATCTGCTGTGTCACCAAAAACTGACCTTTTGGCTAATGTATAATTATTTTTTTCATATAAGAGCTTGGAGGACATTTAAGCTTTGCCTTTAAAAGTGGAACGCGATAGTGAAACATATAAACTCTCGCTCATTCCTAAGCTGTGCAAGCATGCCTTGCGTTGTCTGGCTTGCAACCGAAGGGTTGTGGGTTCGAATCCCGCCTAAAATTGTTCAAATATTTGTTTATGGCAAATGAATTACGGTACTTTATAAAGTGACATGATTTGAGACATGTCATGTTTCTTGATCACATTCATTCCATGCGTGACGTCACATTTCATGTGAGCGTTGTGGGTTGCTTGAAATTCCCGTGCGAGGTAATGTGGCTGTGACGTCATGACCCTATCGACCAATCCTGGATTTTAGCGCACGCCAACGACACTGGCTTTTCTGCTACACAAGCCCCATAATGGTACCGTGTTAAAAGTTGACCTAAAAGGACTTAAGGGAAGCATTCCCCCCCCCCCCCTCCCTCCCCCTATCTGCCCCTAATTAAAGGGTCAATGCAACAATTTTTGTACTTTGTGCAAATACCGCTTAAAATGAATCCCTGAGATTGAGGACCTATGAAACAAGCATTCGTTTTTCACTACATGCAATACAAGTTGCAGAAAAAACAAAAAGAAAAACGAGTAGCATCCTCTCCCTCAACTTGCAGCCAGAACAAGCGGCCATGTGATCTGGAGGCGATTATATGCCACCAATGTTGATCATGGCCACAGGCTGGGGTTGGCAAAGCACAGGACACGCGCTGAGTTCCAGACATTGTTATGGTTTGGCTTTGTCGTTATTCCAGCGATTGGACACGGGCCACTACCCGATTGCATGTCGAGCTATTGATTATCATGAGCCCAATTTAAGTGCTCACTCAATGCTCGGGTTCAATCTATGAGCCGCGTCCAAATATTGTAACAGGGGGTAGTTTTGTGAAGGAGAGATTGAAAGAAAACGCCAGCTTTTGTTTTTCAAATTACGCCGCAACAAGTTCCTTGGTTAATCGCATTGTCTGCGAGTATACAGTAGCACCTCGTTGATATGTTTTCGGTTGATACGTTTTTTCGGCTGTTACGTTGAAAAACGCTGCTCCCGTTTCACTTCCATATTAGTTTCCTGTCTGCTATGCTCGCTTTCCCGGTTGTTACGTCCAAAAGTGTCAGCATTGCGGCGCCTCGACGCGCCGGACGCCAGGCTGCCACGCTGGCTTCGAAGCGAAGCTAGCGGAGCAAAGCCGAACCATGCTATGCGGGTCGCATGGCACGCATGGGCACGCAGACGGCCGTCTGTCCTTTACTCCTTTCCGTCTCTCTGTCTCCTCACTGGGCTTTGCTGAGCTCTACTACAGCTTCCCATCTTGCCCGGGTGCGACCTTTGAGCACTGCTCGAACGGGGAGCGAGGCTGGCGAGGCGGCAAACATTCGTCCTCTCATGCACTTTCTTTCATCTATCCTTCTCACTCTCTGGCACGAGGTGCACCCGCATGCTGCAGCGCTTCTAGTTTCTGTTCCGCTCGATTATGTGAACTGTGATGTTTCAGAGTATGTGCGCTTCGCGCCTATTGACAACAATTATGGCATCGGGAAAAAGGAAGGCACTCTCTTTTAAAGAGAAGTTTGATATACTTCAGACGGTGGATCGCAATCCCAGCTGGAAGAGATCTGACATCGCACGAGACCTCGGACTCACACTGTCAACTTTGAACAGCATCATCGCCAAATGAAAGAAGATTGAGGTGAAGCTCCTTTTTATCAACCAGGCTTTAAAGAGGTTTGGGGGGCAAAACACGCAAAGTTGGAGGAGGCCCTGCTAGTATGGTTCAAAAAAGCCCGGGCATATTGTGTCAACGTTGTGCAATACAAGTTGAAGAAAAAACCCTTCAGGATGGTGGTTCCCGGAAGCTACGGAAGAGGCTTATTGGGTACTCCCACGACTCGGCTCTGGCAGGTCATGGCAGTGGCAGCAAGACTTTTCATAAGTTATGCCGTGCCGCGACCTGGCCGTGGATGAGGCAAGACGCACTTTGATACACTTGCAGCTGTCCAGGCCTACGGATCGTCCTTCCCATGCCAGCGCTGCGTAGGCTGGCTGTCCCGGGCTATCACTGCCCGAGTCTCGCTGCGGAACTACTCCGGGATCGTTGTAGCCCAGGTCATATGGCCAGGGCTCGCCGTTTCCACCGGTCTGGACTTCGAACCTCGCTGGTGGACCGCTCCGGGGTTTGCCATGGACCAGGCCAGGCAGTCTGGCTCCGACGTTCTTGTCCAGCTCCAGCCTCGCTCCGCACACACTTCCTCGCGCCAGCTCGTGTCTTCTCCGCCGACCGCCTGTCACGTGCCCGGTGCCTTGCCTTTCACCCTCGGCTCCCACAACGTCGACGGAGGAATCTTGCTAGAGAAGGCGCAAAAGACTGCAGACCGTTTGGATATCACGGACTTCACTAATCCAATGGGTGGGTTGACCACTTAAAGAAGCGCCATGGTCGTTCGTATCATGCGGTAAGCGGTGAAGCTGCCAGCGTTGATCCAATCTGTGTGGAAGCATTTAATTTATTGCTGCCTTCAATCATCGCCAATACCACCCACGCAACGCTTTCAACGCCGACGAAGCTGCTCTTTTCTTCAATGCTGGTCTTTTCTTCAATGTCCAGCCCATGAGGTAATTGAGCCTCAACAATGAAGCCTGCCATGGAGGAAAGAGTAGCAAGGACCGGCTTACTGTTCTATTCTAGTGTGTTGCAATGAGGACGGGTCAGAAATGGTGAAGCCGTCAGTGATTGGGAAGTTCTGCAACCCGCGATGTTTAGAGAACCTTCGTCGGATGCCCTGCCACTACTGAAGTAACACTCGAGCATGGATGACAAGTGCTCTTTTTGAGGCTTTTCTGCGATACGTTGACTCACAAATGGGGTCGCAAAACTGAAAGGCACTTGTGTTCATCGACAACTGCAGCCCAGCCCACCCAAAAGACTTGTCGTTTCTCAGGAACGTCCAGGTGGAGTATCTTCCTCAGAAGGCCACAACTGACCTCCAGCCACTCGATGCGGGCATAATAAAAAATGTCAAGCACTTCTACCAGAAGTGGATTGTCCGGCGATCACTTGCCATGGTGGAACGAGGTGACTTTCCGATCAAGCTCTTCATCCTAGATGCAATGCACTTTCTCGCTACAGCTTGGACACTGTCTCCGCTACCACTGCGCAGCACTGTTTCCTTCCGCAAGTGCGGGTTTCAATGCGCGGGGCCAGTGCAAAAGGACAACGCCGACGAAGATGCCAAAGACTCGCAAGAAATGGAAGATGCTATGGCACGGATGGGAGCTCCCATCACCTACTGTGAATATGCGTCGCTTGATGACAACGTCGTTACCTCTGAACCACAGAGCATAGCGGACATCATGGCCGACCTCACTACTGCCCACAATGAAGAAAGTGATGAAGATGTACAGCAGGAAACAAACGATTCGGCTACGCCCAAGTTTGCGGACGCGATCATTGCGTTGGACCGCTTGCGCCACTACGTAAATGTTCACGGCTGTGTGGAGAGCGAGAGAGGAATGCGGGTGCTGGAGAAACAGCTTTTACTGCTTAACATTAATTCGAGGCGGCAGGCGGATATTACGTGCTTTTGTGAACATGTCTGAGTCCTCAACAGTTCTGTAAGTACACATAAAATAAACCATTGTATAAGAGTTGCTTTCTATCTCATGTAGAGTCCCCTAAGTGCATTATCGGTTGTTACGTTTTCTTTCTGCGGTCCCCTGAAAAACGTATCAACGAGGTTCTACTGTGCTTGGGTCCCACTAGTGCCAGTAAGCTTGTGTAAACTGAAAAACATTCCAAGCGAATTTCATTGCATGGCCCCTTCAACACAGGGTGACACGTGGTGTCTAGTAGTGGGGTGCGAAAAGGACCCTTTAACTGTTTACAAGTCGTTTCTCGTGTCCAGGTCGGCCTTCCACTATTACCACTTTGCTTATGGCACTCTGAAGCATCTGATCACTTCCCAAGGGTGTCAGCAAGATCGGAGTCACTGCACAAGAGATACAGGTGTTTATCTCACTACAACCCTTCCAATGAGAACCCAATTGATATTCTGAAGGATGCAACCACAAACAAACCTCACATAAAGCGAACAAACCAATGATTGCCGTGACGGCGCTGGACAATAAGAGTGGAGGAGGGCAAAAGGCTGTCAATACTCTACCAAATCTGCGACTTTAAAGACCTTTTCCAAAACCCCATCAAACGACAGTGGCATTTTCAAAACTCCATCAAACGACAGGAAGTGTGCGATAGGATTTGTGCCCTTGCCGAATGCTGATGCAGCACTCGTTCTTGAAACAAGCTGAGCTGAGTTTACGCCAAACACTGATGCAACACCCATGCCCAATAGATGCTCAGAGTACGTGACCAAATAATGGCGGACTCGGACTGTCGGCACTCCAGCCACTAGATGGCTCGGACTTTTGAAAAGGATCTATTACAAGGAGCCTGAGGCACAAACCAAACACCGAAAGCTGCAGCCCCCGTTTACGGGCTGCTACCGTCGAGTCCCCTGACCTTCGAGAGTCTTGAGGGGAGGCAAAAGGCCCTTCCTCTGCAGGTGGAAGATGACCAGCAGGGTGAGCTGGAAGTTGGTGATCCACGTGCCGGGGACCTTGTTGGTGAGGCCCTGCGCGCTAGCCCAGCCACGCAGGGTGAACACCAGGGGCCCCAGGCTGGGTGCCAGCTGGCTGCAGAAGTGCAGCACACGAGACATGTCCACCCCGGACCTGGAAGGGATCGGGCCGAGATTACTTCGTAATATTTGGGGCTCTAAGATCATCTGACACCTCCTCAGAAAATACAGTCGCCGACGGATTTTTCGGATGCCGATAATTCAGACTTGTTCGATATTTCGGACCTAAAGGAGGAACCGTGACCCACCCGATAGAAATAGTGCATATTCACGACCAATGTTCCAAACAGCTTGAAGTCCGAACGTTCGATTTTTCGGACAAAATCGTCGCCAGCGATCAGTGGGAAACACCTCCGAGAAGCAGCAATTTCGGATTCTATGTTGGCTGCACATGGATTGGCTTGGTTTGGCAGCGATACTTAAATACGGCTAAGTCCTCTACTGCTAGGTGACGCTGTACGGCTTTTTTTTTTTTTTTCTCTCCAGCTGCATGTCATCAATAGCATCACTGTTGTTTCCATTTTGCTTTGTTCATTCGCCACTGCAGTCATGGGGCCATAAACTCTTCAAACACACATGTGAAACCAAAGTTGATGGAGCGCACCGATTGGACAATCACGACGATGACTTTGCATTTTGTCGCCGTTGTCCAATCGGCGTGCTCTGCAAACTTTCTGCTCCAACTTTATGTTTGACGAGTTTAGGGCCCATGGACTTCCGCCTCTCATCTCGATCTCGTCTCAGTGAATCGTGTTTTCAAACAACGCTGGCTTGGACGTCATTGCCCTATCTGTTCGTCCGCTGCCGCGATGTGTCGCTAATAAGCGCAGAAAGCACTCAACCATAACGCTAGAAAAGAAGGCAGCGATTCTCAAGCTAATAGAAAGTTGCCGAACGCAAATGGAGGCATAACCTAAAACAAAGTGCGCAGGTGTAACCTGAAGCAAAGCACCATTTACGGCTTTTTTTAAGCCTGCTTAGACATAATAATGGCAAGTTTTTTACTCTGCTGATTTTTTGGACTGCTCTTTTATTCGGACGTTTTTTCGGTCCCTGCGAAGTCTGAAAGATCGGTTGGCTACAGTAATTAGGGTTTTCTTGAGAAGCACTAGTATATTGTTGAGACATTGTCTAAGTCATTTATCACTAAAGAGTCATATCTGTTGAGAGAAACAAACGAAAGGAATGTAACGTCGGAGGCTCCGGAAGTCACTAGAGTTGTTTGACTCCAAGCACCTATGCATTCAAAACTTTTTACAGCGATAGCTGTTATAGGGACTTCCCAGCTGCATTCGCAACGTCGGCATTGCATTAGCCAGAAAACTCGGTTTCACGTGTGCTCATGCCGCCCCGTGATGTCGGGCAAAGTGCGTGCACTCGGTTCTCACCAGGCAACAGTGTCTTCTACGGTTGGTGGCGGACTCCGGTACACATTCCTCACTCTAGAACTTGGCTTGCGTGTACTACAGTCACTGACGAGGGGAAAATGGCAGGGAGGAGCTTCGGGCGGAAGGCTTGGAAAGCATGCTGGGGCGGGATATTAGAAAGACATGCCCTGCTGTTCTCATTTTATCAGTGACCATATAGCGTGCAAAGCAACACACCACTAATAACGATACCCGTCTCAATTTAGCCTTGGGCAAGGACATTGACTCATGTGCAGTCTGTACCCTCTCCTACGTACCGTATTTACTCGAGTAATAGCCGTACTGTTTATGAAGAAAACCTGAGGGTTCGCTTTTCCGCCGAGCACACGGATTGCCAATCGCCGCGATCGACAACATGACTCCAACAATTTACAAGACAGAGATAACGTCTTCGCGTGAAGATACCATCTGTGAAGATTGCAGTTGTATAGAGAATCGTGTTCTCGATTTAATTATTTGCTATGTTATTGACGCGTAACGCGATAATTTACTGTATGTACTTTGCGGGAAAGTAGAAGCAAGGGCTCTGTTCATAAATAGTGCGGCTATTACTCGAGTAAATACGGTGCTTAGGTGACCATGATGCCGAATTGCGTGTGATCTAGTAAATGAAGTGGATTCGCACGAAAGTGTGTCTTAGTAAACGCAATACCAGCTATCGCCCTCACGTCTTCGCACTTGGACAAAAAGCTGCGGAGTTTTTGAGTAGACGCGCCTTTTATATTTTGGTGGTCTTAAGAATGATGTTTCGTGGACTCTGTTATTTTTATTAATGAAGATGTGGCTCCAACGACTTATCACTTCTCAAATATTCGGAGTTATGCATTGTCAGTGTAAGCGACTGAGGAAGAATATAGAGAAAAGACCCGAGAAGTTAGCGGTTGTATTAGTACAATTTCTTCTGGATTGGGAGAGTCGTGGCACCGCTGAACGGCACATTGTGCCACACTACGGATGCCTGCGGCACCACACCCCAACGTCGACGCGATGACATTGCTAGACTTCGTGCGGAGAAAAGACGGACTTTAAGCCACAAAATGTTTCTTCTCGGGAGCTGGCCTTTTGTAAGTCGTCGTTCTATAAAACTACAGGCATGCATAAACAAGTGGTCAGATGTCTCTCAACTCTAGGTGCAAATGAGGCCATGAGACACACCCTGGTGGAAGATAGGGTGAAAAGAACTTTTGACGTGGGCTACAGAAGGCTCACATATTGTTGAGCGTCAGGTCGCACTCCCTGCCGACTATGTCGTGCTGGAACTTGACGATGGGCACGCGGGCCCGCAGGATGCGGTGAACTTCGGAGACGCCAGGCACCACGTAGTGAAGCAGGTCGCCCAAGGTCTCCAATATCCTCTGCACCAGTGTCCTGTCGTTGATCATCTGGTGCTTGTCTTGAAAGTACAGCTGTCCTTTCGCATCCTGTTTCGGCATAAAGAAAAAAAGATTACCGCAATGGCCCCAAAAGACAGTCCACTTCGAATTTTTCCCCAATTAGTGTTGTTAAAAGAATGTCAGAAAATTTCACAGCTGTTCCAACTGTTTAGAAAAATTAATGGCCCAGTGAATAAATGCAGTTTCCTCTTTGTCCTTTCTCAGTGAGTGTGGCAGAACCTATAGTAAAGTTAGTTTTTGAAGGAAACATCCCTACATATGTATCTTCACTTTAACAGTATCTCAAATGCTTCTGCCAGTGCTAGATGTGTAGTTCAACCTTGTTTCACTATTCCATACCTTCTAGTCTTTACAATAATTATACCATAATATCTCCAGTCATTGCACACCCATGCTGCCTGAAATTCATTAAAGTGGGTTGAGCCATGTCTTGGTGGGTAAGCACAAAACGTTTAGAAAAAGCTAAAAATTTGCATTTACCTGTACATATCTAGGGTGGCTAGACAGGAGATACATTAAACTCAAAACTCGAATCAGTTTCACTGTTTTATAGAAGAAATGTTCATGAAATAATGTCGACTATCGCTAAGTGTGCAACACACTTAGCGATAGTCGACATTATTTCATGAACATTTCTTCTATAAAACAGTGAAACTGATTCGAGTTTGCATATGTGCAATGAAAACTGCCGACTGGCAGACAGCGCAAATGCTTGTTCGTAAAAACATGTTTTTAAAACCGCTACACTCTTTTCGTTGGAAAAAAAAAAAAGACTCAACGAGAAAATGGAAAAACCAACCAGGTGTAACGAGCAAGCGAACGAGAATGTCCAAACAAACCTTTTTTGTAAGCAAAACAAAGTTTCATTTTGTTATCTCCATTGTTTTACTTTTGCACGCATGTACTCAGACATCAGGGTAGCAATAATCGGGGAGGAAATGCGTAAACAGAGGGAAGTATTTTTCCCTTCTTTGTTTTACTTCGTCACGGACGTCTTCCAACTGTAAGGTCCTTGGCTGTATCATTCGGGTAGAATGAATGTTCGTGGATCGCGGTGTTCGGGTAATTGTAGGGGTGTACAATCACTCTGTGTTTTCTTCTGCCCAAGAAGTGGGAGGGGCGATGACTCCGGATATTATGGTAGCTTTCACTGTAAACATCAAGTTAATTTCTTTAGTCTTTCCTATAGAGAGGTTTTACAGTGTGGCATTCATATGATGTTGTCTACGGGAGTTGGCTCATGAAACGAGATGGGTTCTATTTCCAAGTGTGCTATCTACTGCCTATGTATGAAGGGGTGAGCTATGTTTTGGGGTACTAGCATGAATTTGGTTATAGACTGACATGATACAAGTCTACAACTTCTATTCTTTGCAGCAAGTCCTTTTCCACTACAGTGCAATCCACTTTTCAATTCAATTTGTTTATTTACTCCCATCATACATATGGGTGATGGAGACAGGGGAAAAAACTACAGAAGTGCAGCTTGACAAAGCCCCTGCCCCCTACTGGCAGATCGGTCGACAGAAAAAAATAATACTAAATAAAAGGACAAAAGAAACACTCAGTGCTATGCAGGAGAAACTATTTAAAATTTGAGGTGAATACTTTGCATATTGTTATAATGTATAACGATAATGAGGAAACCCAAAAGTGCAATCGTTATAACTGATTATCATTGTATATCTGGACTGGATACCCCACTCTAGAAACTGATCGTTATAAGTGGATTGCACTGTACTCACATTGACCGGAGTGATTACTAGTTTACCAATTGGGAAGAAACTTGTATTTATGCAGTTACTGTACTCCATTAAACAATTTCCTTGCTCTTGCAGTAGAGCCTGAAGACATTACTGCATCAACAGCAACAAAAGGGGGGGGGGGGGGGTGGTTATTGGAGGAGAAGGGAGAGAAAAACCCACTTCCCCCCAACCTCTCAAAGGGCAATTAAAAAAATAAAACGACATACACTGGCTTTTTTAGGAGGAAATGATTAAATCATATTAAAATGAGAAATATTAGGTCAATAAAATAGACCTGGATAATGCATTGCCCGTGACATCAGGTCTCTCTGCAGGCTCCCCAAATGCCACCCACCAAGCCTGATCCATAAATCCGTTCCTGAAAACAAATTTAATGAAGGATGCAGGAAAGAAACAAGAATATTTGCATCCCCGCGATATTACCGAGGATATCTTCTTATGGCGCTATGAGATCAGAGTATGCTTTCCGAGCTTCTTTGAGTTCATTTAAGAATAAAAAAGAACTCCAATTCAACTCCAATTCCCTTACCACACTCTCTGGAACGCAGTAGACCATGTCTATGTCACAATTATGCCGGCCAAATCCATTGACGAGCGACCCGAAAGGCAACACGGAGCCCCTTGGGTAGAGACCGGATATGAACTCTTCTATCTGCCTGCACACCAGGAACCCAAGCCGCAACTCCAAGTCGTTCAGTCTCTCATTCTCATAGAAGCGGACCATCTGCTCTGAAACCTACATGGAAGAAAGAACAGTGTGCATAAGTTGCTAATCTAGCAAGTGTGATAAACTATTCCAGAAAGTATGTGGTGCCACCCCCATCTGCTCAAAGCATTGTGGCAATTCGATGCATGGTACGTGAGAAAGCAAACCGAAAAAAGTGAAGTCAACTATTTGTTGACTTTCACATAGCATCTAGTTTTACAGCGGAGCTGTTAAGGGCTAGTTTTCCCAGGATCGTGTCCACCAGCAAAGAAATGATGACACCGAACTCTGGACAACTACTGCCATCTATGAGCGACGGCGGCAACCAGACAACTGGCCGGTTGCCGCCGTCGCTCATAGATGGCAGCAGCTCTCCAGAGTTCGGTGTCATCATCTATGAGCGATGGCGAAGAGCGCAGCAGTGCGAATGGTTCCGCAACCACCGCAAGGCCACTATCGCCTCAAGTTCCATTTCGTTGAGCGCTTCAGATTCTCTTGCGAAAGAAGAGGAAATCGCTTGCTTGGACAGCCACCGCCGAGAACAGAAGCTACAGCTCCGCTGCTCTTCCCTCTCCACCAAAGTGTAAAAGCTGAGAGTTTTATTTTCTTTTTTTTTCATGCACAGCATTTTAAACATATTTTTATGGCATAGCATTCTAAGTTTCTTTGATTGCTGCATACAGAGCTGGGTTAAGCAGAAAGTGCCTGATTTTTAACACAAAGTGAGGTTTATTAGCCGATTTTCATGGAGTTCTACAACACCTGTAACATTTGGCTGTAACAAAACACGGACACCAAACAGCATTATGCACATAGGGAACCAAGTAAAAAGACTTCAGCCCTGGCAAAATTTGAACTCACCACTTCGACGAGATAGTGAGCCAAGTGCATTGCCGACTGAGCTACCTAGGGTCGGTGGTTGGTAGCCCGCAAAAGCGAACTCATTAGCGCGCAAAAGCAGTTGCGCGTTTCGCGGCCCTTCCTGTTATGCTGCAACATCTCACAACGTGTGTCAGAAATGGCGGCGAACGTCCAGTAGACGGTGCCATTCAAATTCCTTTCTCTTCTTCCCGGAATGTGTATCACACATTCTGTGCTTACCAGGCTTTGTCATCATGACCAAGATTGCATAATTGTTTTTTAATGTATCTGCCCTGTTGCTTTAACCATCATGGTTCTTGGTAAGTTACGGTAAATCTCGTTAATTCAAACTACCATGCAGGTTCCATCCTATGCGTCTCTCTGGGAGGAAACTCCCGGTAATTCAAACTTTGCTTTATTCAAACAAATTTTTGGTCTCCCTCGAGTTTGAATTAACGAGATTCAACTGTATTTATTCATGTTTAGATAATGTAGCCCTGTTTGGTCTATTGGCTGAGTGGGGAATATGGAGGACAACAGACAAGATGAAACACAATTTACAGCAATCAATAACAGTCACAAAGGAAGGGGTTGGAGGACAACAGACAAGACAAAACACAATATGCAACAATCAAAACAGTCAAAAAGGAAGGAGTTTGTTTCTGTAGTATTATTTATAAATAAATAAACATGCTTAAACGATGCCACTCCTACACCAGCAATAAGAAATAAAGAAGAAAGACATCCCTAGAATCAACAAACTAGTTGTAAGATGGTTTACGGGAGCCGCTGCACCACCATGAGAGATTTATTTATTTATCTTTGTTATTGAAGATGATGTTTTGAGAGTTTTTTTATTGTGCGTAGCCTGTTTTTCTGTCAAAAAAGCTGCGAATAAAGATGAAGTACAGCTCCAACGGAAAAAGAGTAGCACAAGTGACCGATGACCGGAGCGGCAAAATCGCGACACGCGGCGCTCTTGTTCCCGAGCGTGCCGATAGCGAGAGTGCCAGTCACGTTGCATGTCTCAACGGGGGGCCGGCAGAAAATTGAGAGATAAGATAGCTGTTAAAATGAGGGCTTTAGGATAAGCTGTTTTTTGCCGGCCCCCCCCCCCCCCCCCCCCCCCCCCCCCGTTGAGACATGGAACGTGACTGGCACTCTCGCTATTGGCGCGCTCGGGAACAATAGTGCCGCGTGTCGCGATTCTGCCGCTCCGGTCGTCGGTCACTTGTGCGACTCTTTTTCCGTTGCAGCTGTACAAGAGCCTTAGAATTAAATATATTTGAGACTCCCAACCAAGTCACGAGGGATGAACAGATTTTCGGATTCTTATAACTGTAAGTCAGCCCGATTAATTTCAACTCACCGACTTACAATTTGTAAGAAATTAGTATCTAGACTTGAATAAAACAAACCCTTGAGTAGAAAGATGGCCTATAGTTAAAGAGTAATATCATTCTTGATATCCAGAATCATTCTAACATCGCTTTTTGAGCTTCTATTTTTCTGATTTGGAAAGAAAGGAACTGGTTTAGGGGAATGCTTAACAACTAACCAACATACAAAAGCAAGAACCACCCAGAAAAGAAAGAAAAAGGAAATGAAGTTGACTTTATAAACATAACCATAACTAAACTGTTATTATTTTCGGTTTGAGTCCCTGGGTTGAGACACGATTAATCACAAACTCACAAAAATTATAAATTTACCGTAGCCAATCGCATGAGCTCCGTCGAGAGCTGGGAGGCTGAGGGCACTGAACACGTCTCAATATCGACGGGGATGGACGTTGCCGGCTGCCTCGAGCTGTTCTTTGGAACAAACTTCAGAAGCCTGGACCACACGGGGAACCCATCCGAAGATAAGTGCTTGCAGTCTCTTAGCAGCTTGTGTGTAGACTCACTGGTCTCAAACTCCAAAAGGACATGGCACTTGAAACAAACAGCAAAACAGCATCACATTAGTTCTGTTATTAGTAGCAAGCACACACGAGAGAAGTGCCCGCGAGAAGGAACACTATAAATACCTTTTGTTGTTTTCCCGCGTAGTAATAGGCTTTTGTTAGGTTCCCGTATCGGAGGCACTCCTGGCATAGTTCGATGATCCTGTGTCGATTTTCTACTTCGACGAGGAGGCTGTTTGAAGACTCCCGTCTCCTTTGCGAGATCACGGAGTCGAAGGGTAAGGGATCTTCGTTGCTATCGGCTGCGGCAGCTGGACAAGTCGGTGTCGTTGATTACATGAAAATAAGTAAGAATATACATTGACCAGATAAGAAAGGGTGGGCTTGCTGGAGGGGCCGAATGAGAGTTCGGCCCCACCCGCTCTCGTCCCTCAGAATGCACAGCTTGCATGTAGAACCAGCGGGCACGCGTGTGAGTTGCTTTGTGTAGACCCTCAGAGTGCATAACTTGCATGCAATAAAGACGACGGTTGGTTTACTGAGCTGTTTGAACAGGAGATGCTGGTGAGCATACAGTGGGACAATCAGTACAGACATCACTGTAGAGGCCATAATTCTGCGGACGGGGCTTCGATTTCTTAATCAACCAGTGGTGCAAACGGCATTCATTAAAAGGATTAAAAGGCGTTTTGTCTAGTGTCTCATAGGACGGAACAAAAGTTGGGTGGTTCACGGGAATTCGTTAGGATTTCGACCATCCAATTGAGAACGACATCCGTATCGGGAAAGACATACCGCATAGCGTTTGTCTGCGGATTGCTGGACGCATCTTTCGTCGTAATACATGATTGTGAGAGCGGAGAAAGCTGTGGCTACGTCGAAAACAATTCATTTCTAATGCAGAGCTACGCCAGCCGCACCAGCATGCCGATGACTGTGGAGGCGACCATATTGTATTATCAATGTTGCCGAGTTCTGTTCCCTTTGCGGTCAGAATTGTCCAAATTTTTCAGAATTTTATATTTTCGACAATCCAGCGTCACGATCTTGCCTCCTTGTAGCTTTACTTTTTAATTATGGACATAACTAATCAAATAAATAAAGCGAAGTATCACGCAAAATAACTTTAACCAGTGCCGAATTTTTCTATTTTAGTGCAGTACAGGCTTCACGACTACACAACAAATTCTATAGCCTGCAGTGAAAAAGTTATTTGGTAAAATAAGTCGCAATTTTACTTTTGGGCAGCCAGTAAAGATGAAATTCTTGTGCGATCAAAAGGTAGAAGTCAGGGCTCAGTCGTTGCAAACCTCCAGAAAGCAACATTTTCGCGTTCCGGCGTGGTCTAGTGGCTAGGATATCTGGCTTTCACCCAGAAGGCCCGGGTTCGATTCCCGGCGTCGGAAGATTGGTCTCATGGTGTAATGGTTAGCACTCTGGACTCTGAATCCAGCGATCCGAGTTCAAATCTCGGTGAGACCTTTATTTTTTGCTTTCCTTGCTCGATTGTACTTGTTTTACCTTGTGTTGTAACGCTACAAGCGCGAGCTCCTTGCTCTCTGGAACATCTCGGTGGCGCACATGCTCTCGTGCATGCTCTCGTGCACCAAGGGCAGCTAGCTGCCAACACTTTGAGCTCGCGCTTCTAGCCTTCGCTGCGGTACAACATAAGGTGAAAGAAGTATAGATGTATGCCCTTAACTGACGAATGAGAGACAGTTCTTGAATTTGAAGTTTCTACTATATCTTCAACAAAGAAAAGCTTCGCAATCTGTCGTTTAATGCAAAGTTTGACAACTTCCATTTCATACACATGAGCTAGGGAGCCTTCATGTGCGCTTTGCTAGGGTGATGCCACCCTTTGTAATACCACTCGCCGACAAACCAGCAGCCATTTTGTTCCTCGGCGATAATCCGTGGGGCTTATAACCCTCCCGGAAACAAGCACCTTATCTCAGAAGTTCAAAGCAGCGTTGTGGAATCCACGGAGGGAGGATTAGCATTTTTCCCCTCGGATGGGATTACTGATGGACACAAAGGCCACTTTCCTGCGCACGGGGAAACAATGAGAGGAACAAAATGGCGGTGGAAGAGGGTGTGGGAAAGGGAAACAGGCGGTTGGCATCACTCTATGCGAAGCGCACATGAAGGCAGTCTAACATGAGCCATTTGCTTTCCATTCCTTAATTGTAATTCCATTGGCGTAATATCATTACTTTTCTAGGAAGTTCGTATTAGCTAATCTTTATCATTTCTGACTAAAAGTCCGGAGTGGTCAGGTATTCGCCTCTGGGTGTGCTCCGATAAGGACGGCCGTAATAGTGTCCTGCCTATTTTTTTTTTTCAATTAATTTTTTATATGAGGTAGCGAAACCTGTCCACAGTACGGGACAGACCTTATTTTAGCAAGGTACTTTATTGTATTCGTGAGACAGATCGCATTCGAGAGAAGGTTGAAAAAATTACACCATCTTCCCGAGGGGAACCATGGGGTGATGCGGAGCATCGTTCCATCACACTTCATCGGAAGAACGGAGTGAGGTGGAGTCAACAGCGGTGAACTGAACGCGCGCACAAATTGGTTTGCTCTGTATGTTTATACAGCCTTGATGGAGATGCGCCTCAACGGGTAATCAGTATCTTAGCTGTAGATGAGAAATTTAGCCAGTGCAGTACAACCGCTAACCTGGGATTCTTAACGTGCATCACGCAGTAGTCATCACACGAACGCGTGCCGGTACGAAACTCATCCAGATCGAAACGGGCGGGGGTGGCGGGGACTCGAGCCCAGGAGGTTCCCAGCGCAAGCTTTCGCTCCACGCTCCGAGCTGAGACGCGTTAGCCCACTCGGCCACTTCCTCTCCTTGAACGCGCGCAGCGCGCTACCGCTGCTTATATTCAAACTTGAAGGAGAAGAAACTAGAGGAGGAGAGTTGCGCCTGCGCGCGCGGTGTAAGTAGAAGCGAACGCACGCGAAGTGCACGCAGCTGGTAGCTGCTTGCACTTCGCGCAGCAGTTGAAGAGAGAGAGAACGCACGCGCAGCTGTTGGAGAGAGGGACGCAGCTGGTAGCTGCGTGCACTTCGCGCAGCTGTTGAAGAGAGAGAGAACGCACGCGTAGCGAGGAGAGTTGCGCATGTGTAGTGTGACTGCGGACTACGACGCCGCGGGACATAGCCCGAGCAAGAGATACTCCGCATCTAAAAACGATTTTCTTAACTGCACCCACGATGACGCAACTTTGAAGGCCGGAGGAATAAAGATTGCAGCTTTCTACACCGTCAACTCTTTTACGTTTAATGCCCGCATACTTTTCTGCCAGAATTAGTTAAAGTTAACTTACACAAGCATATATTTCAAGCGAAATCAAATGCCAAACTTGGCTTCTGGAGCGAATCTTACATAATGAGGCATTTTTCAGAGAATATCTAAGTCGCTTTAAATTTATATCGTAAAGATTAAACTTTCTGTGTAGAGTGTTTCATGGTTTGTGAACTTTCTACAAATTAATTGGCTTTCTACTGTTGAAAGTGTTTTCTGAATTGCGGCCGAAAATTTTGTCCAATCGAAAAGTCAAAATTTTGCGATTTTTCTGCTGCGATTAAAAAAAAAAATCATTCTGGATTTTATTTAAATCTTACTTGATGGGCTATTGATGACCGATAATTACAAATATGCAAAGCCATGTAGCATTGTTTTGTTAAAAAAAATTGTGTAACCAGGGTACAGAAAAAATTGTGTACCACTACAGAACCGCTGGGGCGTTTCTGTAGTGATATACAAGCGACGCACGCCGAGGTATCCGTACTTGGCCATGAAGCACTATAAAAGTAGCACGTGAACTTGGTTTCATCCCTGATGTGGCTGATATTGCCAATGAAAACTGAACGTTGCGGCGCGTACGATCCTTATTGGGGTGTTATTATGCCCAGTTTATTACATTTCTTTTACAATTTATTACAATTACAATTTATTACAATTAAAATGCCCAGTTTATTACAATTATGCCCAGTGTTACTTAAAGTTTTCCACGACTCTTACAATCGCAAGATGCTCCTACCTTCCTGTTATGACTGTCCCACCGTTTTAATACCTAAAACAAAAGACAACGAACTGATAAAAAAAGTAGAGAATTACAGGCCGATCTCACCGTGCAATGTCGACTATAAGATCTACGCTAAAATAATTAATGAAAGACTTCAGATGGTAATCGAAGACCTTGTAGGTGAGCATCAAACTTCCGGTATACGCGGTCGATTCATTCAAACAAATATCCAACTAGCCCGCTCGGTCCTTGAATATGCATCAGTTAGTAATGGTCAGATTGCGCTAGTTAAAATCGATTTGGCCAAGGCTTTTGATCGCGTGAGTCACACATTGTGGCTTGCAATCCTCCGTCACTTTAATGTGGGCACCGCAGTTTGTGAAGGCGTTAACCTGTGTTATGAGAACAGCTCAACGAGATTAATAGTTAATAACATGCTATCAGATAAAATACCAATAAAATCGTCTGTTAAACAGGGCTGTCCCTTATCTCCTCTTCTTTGTGGCCTGTACCTAGAGCCCTTTTGCCTGAGCATACGTGAAAGCCAGAACATCCGGGGAATCTTGATTAAGCAGGCTGAAGTGAAGGTTCTCGCCTATGCTGACGATGTGGCTGTTTTTAGAAAAAGTGTAAAAGAAGCCATGACCGTAACCGAAAAGTTTTGCAGCATTATACTGGTGCGTCCATGAACCCTGCGAAGTGCAATGGGTATTGGTATGGATCGTGGGCTACCATGCCTTCATCTTTCGCCGGTATAGCCTGGGACCGAGACTCTCAGGTATCTAGGAGTTCTATTATCACATATCAGAAGCGGTAAATCATATTGGACATAGAACGCAACTTGTTCATATTTAGTAGAGCTAGTGTGTGCAACGTGTTTCTTGTGTCCAAGCTCATGTGCGTGTTGCAGGTGATGCATTGTGCTCATACGAACCTTCAAAAATTTCATCGTATATTCGCCACCTTTATTTGGCGTTGATCATGGGAACCTCTCAAGAGAGACAACCTTTTCCTTTCTCTTGAAGCAGGAGGCTTGAATCTGTGACATTTATTTGTCCGACAGGGTGACCACCTTCCTGCTAGTGAAATGCGGGACACGCGGGGCAGAGGGGAGGGGGCACACAACGAACCAAGGCTCTGTTAACACATTTATTATCCCGTACTGTTTATACACCCGCTAATTGTATTGCAGCAATTAAACTCAACTAATTTTCACTACCAGTGATAGATTATTTTGAATGCCAAAGATGTTATTACATGTGCCGAAGTTGAAAACATAAAAATCGACTATACCAGAACACAATGCATCAAATGGAAATAAGAAACAGTAAATATTTTTCTAGCTATTGTTTCCTGTCCACGCTTACTTCTATCAACATGATCCTACACAAATTTTTAACATTATGTTCTTTTTTGACCGTTGCATGTGTGGCTGCCTTCAAAAAAAGAAAAGAAATCCACAGCAAACCTTTCGCATTGGCATGGTGCTACACACATTTTTAACATCATGTTCTTTTTCGACCGTTGCATGTGTGGCTGCCTTCACTAAAAAAAAAAAAGAAAGAGAAAAAGAAATCCAAGGTTAACCTTTCGGATTGGCATGGTGCTACACAAATTTGTAACATTATGTTCTTTTTTGACCGTTGCATGTGTGGCTGCCTTCACTAAAAAAAAGTAAAAAAAAAATATCACAGCACACCTTTCGCATTGGCACGGCAATTTGAAAATAATTACAATATTTTATATTTAAACTTTTGGCGAGAACTTTTTTGCACAATATTTTCCTACCAAAGGGAGAGGCACAACGGCGCATGCGCGTCGGTCCTCTTGCAAGAACGACGGTCGCTTCCCGCAATGCTTGGATAGATCACAGAGCATGGCGCACCATTTCGATTCA